AGATTTTGACAATGTTTTTACAGTAATTTCAAAATCTACCAGCATCACTTCATTAAGGCTCCCTCTTAGTATTAGTGGCAAGTTAAGCAACACCAGTCCAATCAAACTGATAACCTCCATTGGTCACCAACCCCTCACAGGGCACACACACATTTTGACACCTGTGAGTCACCTTAGCATGTTTTATGACTGTGGAAACCCATGACAACACAGGGGCGGAGACTCAAACCCTGCTTTGCAGAGCCATGAGACCACCATGCTAATCCTAGTGCCACACCACCCCAACGGCTAGCCTTGTGGAGTCATTCTGTGTGAAACACAAGGCACTGGGGCCACCCACAAAGTGTCATTCCTGCTTTACATTCATGCTTCCATGTCCCGCTCTCATCAGTGTTGGGAAGCAATTTAAAAGGCCAGTAGATCTTGGGTTACATCTCTAGGCATGTGGAGTTTAAGTCAAGGGAGGTGAAGCTAAGATTATACAATTCCTTGGTAAGACCCCACCTAGAATATTGTGTGCATGTTTGGTCACCATACCTTAAAAAGGACATTGCTGCCTTGGAAAGGGTGCAATGTAGGGCTACAAGAATGATTCCTGGTCTTAGAGCAATGTCTTATGAGGAGAGGTTAGCTGAGCTGAATCTGTTTATCCTTGAGCAAAGGAGACTAAGGGGGATATGATTCAGGTATATAAGATTCTAACAGGTCTGGATGCTGTTCAACCAAATAGTTACTTCAATATTAGTTGAAATACAAGAATTCATGGCCATAGGTGGAAAATGGTGGGAGAACATTTTAAACTGGATTTGAGGAAGCACGTCTTTACACAGCGTGTAGCATATGGGATAGTCTTCCTGTTAGTGTATTGCAAGCTAAAACCTTGGGTTCCTTTAAATCAGAGCTAGATAAGATTTTAACAACTTTAAGCTGTTAGCTTAATTCTCCCAAAGCAAGCTTGATGGGCCGAATGGCCTCCTCTCGTTTGTAAACTTCTTATTTTCTTATGTTCCTGCTGACGTCCCGAATTCTACAGCATCTAAAAAAAGAAATGGTGTCCAAAATGTCACAACTGAAGCAAAACGGGACCAACATCACTTTATTACATAATTAACGAAAAGGTAACAATAGCTATTAGCCAACTAGCAGTGTTTTTAAATATGCATTTCATCTAATAACTATGTACCCACGTGATATCCATTTCTTGGGTCTGTTTTCCAGTTCATCTTTTTGTTTAAGGATAAATAACAGCCAAAATGGTGTGAATTCTTCCTGTTCCTACATACTAACATCTTTATTTGATGACTCACTATGATATCTGCATTCCTTTTGGCTTATTTACAGAGATGTTATTACTGTCTAATAGTCTAAGACTACATGTGTTTTGTCCTCTCCATTGCAGAAATGGGATTGTATCATACAATTGTACTTTTACTATGAACTTCTTTTATTTCCCTCAAAAACATTAATTTCACTGAGTAGAAAAGGCTCCATGACAGTATATTAGATAGTCTCCACATGCAGCAGCACTAAATATTCCTCAACCTGTGTAACTGCCCAGATCCCAGAAGCTCCCTTTACATCAAAAGCCGTATCTGACACATCACCAGTTGGAAGGACACTGAAATGATATTGATGGCAGTTTGGTAGAGACTGACAATCCGGTGCTGTCAGACACAGCTATTATCACAGTGAGGTATTTTCAAATAAAACTGGAATCATTTGGTAGTCATTACATGTGGCTGCTTATGGATCAAGCACATTCCTGGCTTGTTATTACTTAGCTGGGGATTTTTTTTGTGATGCTGTCTAAATAGCATTTACCTTAGATGTTTGGTAATGGAAAATGGAAAAAAATAGCTACCTAGTTCAAGAAGTTTTCACCTGAAAACATAATAAATTATATTGCAGAAATATTTTTTATTACACCTCACAAACCAGATTTTAGAATTAAGCAGCAGCTGTGTTCAGTGAGCTATAGCTAATATGCTAAAATTAGCCTAAAACCAAAGGAAAATGGATGGCTTCATACATTCGAAATGGCTATACACTCAAAAATAAATTAAATGAATAATTAATTCATAATACCGCAGCCATTCGTTTTGTGGCTGGAAATGTGCGTGTTAAGAAGTTTTGTGAATATGCAGGTGTATGTTTATTTTTGGATGACTACAGGTGACCTCCGTTCACCTGTGCAATGGCTTTGCATTCTGTTACTTAGCCGTCCAGCTTGACTCACTTTTCTATACATTTATACAGCTGGATGTTGATATTTAGGTTTGGTGTTCTCTGGGGACTTGGACTGTCAACCTTCAGGTCGCTGAGTGTCCTTAACCACTACAACACCTGCTGCAGATATGCTTGTTTATTCCCCTGAATATTTACTAATGTTCAGGTATTTCCAAGGACGTTCTTAGTGGGGCTTCCTGCATTTCAGAGCTGTGGTTGCTCTTGCTTCCGTGTTTACCATTTCCAGTAATTATAAAAACTCTGGAACTATTCCAAGACTTACACCCTACGTGAAGAACTGCCTGCATTTTTTAAAGCTGGAATGAATATATTGTAATCGTAAATCTTTCAGTTTGTTGTCGTCTTTATTATTTTGAGTCACTCTCTCTGTTCCTGGTAACCCTTAACTAACTAGGTGGAAGATGGATGGATGGATGGATGAACATAAGAACATAAGAAATTTACAAATGAGAGGGGGCCATGCGGCCCATCAATGGATGGATGGGGGGATTTCTGTAATCAAACAAACATTTTATAATAGTCTTGCTTTGTTTTGTTTACAGTATCTAATAGACAAGAAGGATGCGGTGCGGAATATAAATGCACAATTTGCAAAAAAAAACTTGAAATGTATTGCAAACTTTGTTTTCCGTGGTGAGTGAGTAACGCTGTGGCCTCACACCTCTGCAGCTGTGAAATTGATTTGCTCCTCAGCTCCATGCGCCTCTCAGCATGTCCCCCACATGTTTGCGCTCCTCACACATGCACACTAGGTAGGATATTGTTGCAATAGTGTCCCTAGTGTGTGTGTTCCATGATGCGCTGGCATCCCATCCTGGGTCTCCCCTGTGCATCCGGAAGCCCTGGACTTACTGCGACCCAGCAATGGATAAGTGTTCATGAAAAATGGATGGTTTATTAGAACAAGGGCTTATATTTGAACGGCATAAATATATAAAGTATATGAATACTCTGTATCCAGCGCTTTCCTTGTGACATCATGTCGGATACTTTACCGGGATTCTTTTCAATTTTTATTCCTCTTTTAAAACTTTTTAAATAAATAAATCACTTAGGGTGCTTGTGCTAGAATAGATTTTTCAGATCGTGTTTTTAGTGTCTAAGAAGTGCATTGTCACCAAATCATGAGAACAGGGTGGTCTGTTACGGTTTGTTGGAAAATCACAAAAAAAGCAGATTATTTTTGAGCATACCGGTACATTTTATTCTCCAATAAAAGCACTGAAAATATATAAACTAAAAGAACTTCAGATTTATATCAGATTTAGGTCACATAATGTAATTGCCCTTGAGTCAGTAAAAGCATTTAAAACTTTTTCAAACTTCCTGCACTACCGATCCCTGTAAGTAAGATCACCACTGCAGGAACAGCATACTAAAAATAAAAAGGATGACTTTAAAATTGCATGCTGATTTATTGATATGTTTGCCGTGAGGATGTAGCCAATGATTTAGTGCCCTCAGAAAAGGATCCAGCAAATAAGAATGTTTACATTCTTATTTGTAGGGAATACTGGGACATAACCTCCTCTGATCTGTCCTCTTTCACGGAGAGCAGACAAAGCAGGAGCCGTTATGTTAATTTCCATTTTCCTTAATATTCCTGTTCTTGATGGACATTGATCTCCCCCAAAATTAACTGTAAACATCTGCCCTTCTGATTGGTTTCTCCACCATACCGTTTATCTGTTTGCGGCCCTTACCGATGGGTTCAGACCTCATGAATTAATTAAGATGCCTCTGAGTGATGCTTTACTTTCCCAGCTTCTGGCTGTCACATCACATCCTGACACTGTTTTTAGTCTTAATGGATATTAGGCTGCATAATTAAGGGGGAAACAATCAGCTGATTAGCTGGCTAGAAATGAATCTATACAGCATGACAATACTTGGTGTACATTCATATATGCAGCCGCGGAAAAAAATGAGAGACTACTCTATATTTTTAAACAAATCTGCAATTTTAAATCCTGGTTTAATCCTGGTTCTGCTGGCAGAAGGCTAAGCAGCAGGTTGCTTCCAGGTTCAGAATTTCTAAGACAGCAGTACACAAGAATAAGGTGAAGCAGGAGACATTGGGAACGACCAGAAACCAGCCAGATAGAGGGCACAAGTGACTTTCCAATGGCAGAGATGACAGTCAAGTGACCTTCAAAAGGAATGGGAAACATTAAGTGCAGGTGTGAAGTGCACTGCTAGGACAGTTTGTAACAGCCCCCTGAAACAGGACTGATGTCCCAGAAAGCAAGGAAGAAGCCCTTCATTAATGGGAAACAGAGAAGAACCAGGCTGCAGTTTGCCAAGAAAAAAAATTGTATTCACAGATGCACACCCATAAATTGAGAAATGAGTGAAACAAACATTTTTGCTCTGTGGCTGTATACATCATCTTTTACAGTGAGACAATAAGACTATTTTCCATAGCCAGTCGATTTTAATTTTTGAAATTATTCAAAATAACGTATTTATTCATAAATTATGCATTTACTCTTTATCATTTATATGTTAGGTTAAACAGTTCTAGTAATATAGCTGTATTATTGCTATTCTTTGCATTGCACTACATCTCAGTACAAAGTGCAATACTGTACAATGTGCAAGTAAAATGAGTCATTCCAGATATTCATTTGTTATTTCCCCAGGTAAATTCATGTGGGTAAACCAAACCAGCATCTTCAGTGTAGTATTGGAAATAAATTAGAATAATCAATTGGTGTTCTAGCGGTTGACTGTCTCACCATTGTGATTTACAGGGTTCCTTAGTACTGGCGACCAAGCAGCCAAAGGGAATTATGGACTCTTGGATCAGATCCAGGCCCTACGCTGGATCAGTGAAAACATTGGGTATTTCGGAGGAGATTCCAATCGCATCACGGTTTTCGGATCGGGGATCGGCGCCTCTTGCGTCAGCCTGCTCACGCTTTCCCACCACTCCGAAGGTAAGTGCCCGGCACATGCGGAGGCCTAATGGTCCGCCTGTCGTTCGCAAATGAAAGCAAATCACGTAACGAAATGAAAAATCATTTCTGAGGTTGGCAAGCCTCCGCATTTAGGCTCACGGTCATATTTCAGAGTCTTTTTTTTTTTTTTAAATTAGCACCTGTTTTATTCCTGAAACAGCAGGTGAGGATGCTAACAATAAAAATGATCACTTGTATCAAGTAATTAAGAGCCGAGATCAGCTGAGAGGCCACACAGCCCTTGGCCCTTGAGGCCTGGGTATCTCCACCCCCAGTTTACCATGCGGGCAGCTCTCTGAACTGGACTGATGCCTGTGGCACATTCGTCCCAGGTCCCACATATGGTTTAATAGCATCTTACCTAAGTAGCTTAATATCTCATTAATTAGTGGCTGGCAGCTTATATTTCAGTATAAATATACATCTCACATATCTGAAAGGCTAAGCAAATAGTGGTTTTATGTCGTTCATTAGTCCATTTGAGATTGTTTTGCCTGTGAAAATGGATTAATTTAATTAACCATGGGCATGCAGTAGTTTGTTAACATTGTCCACACAAGGAGAAAATAGGCCTCGTCCGGCAGTAAAGCATCTGCCATTCACATGCTGGACACCAGAGTACCGGATTTTACAAATGATGTTTCATTTCGACAGAGAGTCCCTGTTGTCGCTCCTCTTTTTCTTTGCACTTGGCAGCTGTGCACCAGGTGTATGGCCCAGTAACAAACCACCATCATCTTTTAGCAGGGTTAGCATGATTAGCATCCCGCAGGTCAGAGCGCTTAGCCTATGGCCGTGCCGTAAAATGGGCAGTAATTAAAGTATTAATGAACTTGAGAAATTCCTGTTTTCATCTTATATTTTTAATTTGCTCTTTGTCTGTCAGCATTCATGCGTTCTCATAGACGTCCCTCACAGTCCAGGCCATGCGGCAGATTGGTTATTAAGGCCTAATCTGTGCTCCACCATGTTTGTTTACAGTAAGTTTATTGCTGTAAACATCAGCATACAAATATGCAGCGACGTACAATTTAGAACCCAAGGCGAATATTTTGGCAGGAGACTGGATGTCATTACACTGGGCATCGGTTTCAAAGCCGATGGCAGTTTTTCCATTTGTTCCGAAAGAGGGAAGTTAGTCAAGCCACAGATTAAGGGCCAGAATCCCTGAGATGAGATTGAGTGACGTGCTGGTGTGGAATTGTTGGGCGTTCTGTGCTGTTTGTGAATTCACCATTACAGCCCCGTCTCCATCATTTTATTGGTAATTTTTGACAGGAGACTGGCAGCTACCCTGACCTCTGCCTTGAGCTTTCCATCAGGCAAGAGGAAAAGTATTAGTTATACATTCCCCGTGGGAATCCATGGGTTTCCTGAATGCTGTTTTCACAGGCACACAATGTTTATTAGCCAGTGAACTCAGTAAATATTTGATACACCTGAATCTACAGCCAGTGTTTTTGGGCCTGTAACCCAGGGACCAGGATGTGTACAAAAGTCTGACCAGGACAATGTGAGATATTTGATTGGAGCTGGGTGTTTATTTTGGATATAGACATAAGTAGACGCAGCATGTTAGCACATGCAGAAGGTACGTATCATCTTATGCCGAGATCAAGGGGTGCGTTATCTTAAATGGGATCACAACCGCAGTGTTAAGGGATTTACAAACCTATTCTGCTCTAGATGTGAAGATTGTGGGTTTGAATCCCAGATGACACATCTAGCCTAGAGCTGGGAAGTTTACCTCAATTGCTCCTCCAGAAATTCAGATCACATGCAAGATAAAATTGCAGGCATACAAGCGTGGTGAATTTCAAAGCAAAGGAATACAGCTATATATAGGAAATAGCCAGTCAACCATGGAAATGTAACCATATAATATCAGTCTGAGCTGTATAAAATATTATAGTAGGGTGGTTGTACATCTTCCATGTTCAGCCATTGGAGAAATATCATGAAATATGCTTGCCTTGACAACATCTCCATAGCTGCAATGAGGTAATTCTGCAGTTCCAGTTTAATTACTATTACAAGGGATTTTGCGCATTTCTATCCCCAAATTAGCATCAAAGTGTTACTAATTGCCTTGATTTCCTTTGATGAATGATGACTGGTTTCGGATAGAATTTTTACTACAAATGCATTTTTTATTCCTACGCTATAGCGCCATGCTTCATGTAGCATGATATTATACTGCCAGAGTTACCAGCTCCGTGCTTCCCAGCAAATTGGATATTACTGATGCTATTTTGTTCCTGAACAGAATAGACAATGTGTGCCTTAGTTAGTTTGGGGAGATTAACTCCAGAAATTGCTCAGAATGATACCACAAAAGTTTCGGCTGAGATTCCTGTTGCATCTGGAGTGGCTACACAATGAAGGTTGTGCCTTTGTGAGCGGTGTTCGTCAAAGTAATGATTGGGGTAATCGTGGGAAGACTGTGATAGAAGTGAGCAGCGGGAAGTGACAAGGAATCTTAGCCGTGCGTCACAATGTGTTTGCAAGAATATATTTGTGGCACATCTTTGCATTTTATGGGCAATATATCCTTCATGTTGTTTCCTTTGGGTAATCTATCATGTACCCTGAAAGTAAGCAGTGAAATAATAAAATGCGTTCCCAGTACACAAATGACTTAGCATATATCATATTACATGGAACAAACACCTAAAAACACAGTAAAACGTACATAATTTATTGCACAGCAGCACAATCCCATGGCTCCATTTTGAACTGCTGACAGTTTTAAGAATGTAAGAGATGTCAGCTCACATGTTAAGATGTACAAATTAATAACGTGTTTGAAGCAGATTGTCATTCAGTTACTATGTTCCATTCACAACATGTTCTTGCGTTCAAGGAAAAAAGGGTTCTCCTTTCAATTCAGTCTGCGGTACCTAATGCAAAATACAGATGTACGATTATCGTAGGCCTTTTACAAAAGGCCACTTGCACTGATTGATGCCAACAGCATTTCTGAGCTCTCAACCCCCATCCTGAGTCAGAACCCAAGGGCAGAGCAGAAATCCTGTACATCGTTATTCCAGCTCACTCCTTACCTGGCGGCTGCTCTGCATACAGGCTAAAATATGCATTATGTCAAATCCTTTACGGTTCAATGTGCGCCACCCACAGTGCTGAATGTCCACGACGGTGCGGTGAGGGAACTTCAAACGGAGCATGAGCTGGAGTAAGACCCACGCGAGGCCTGACTGCTCCTCCCAGAGCCCGTCTAACCCGAGACCCACGCGAGGCCTGCCTGCTCCTCCCGGAGCCCGTCTAACCCGAGACCCACGCGAGGCTGCCTGCTCCTCCCAGAACCCATCTAACCCGAGACCCACACGAGGCCTGCCTGCTCCTCCCGGAGCCCGTCTAACCCGAGACTCACGCGAGGCCTGCCTGCTCCTCCCGGAGCCCGTCTAACCCGAGACCCACGTGAGGTCTGCCTGCTCCTCCCGGAGCCCATCTAACCCGAGACTCACGCGAGGCCTGCCTGCTCCTCCCAGAGCCCGTTTAAACCGAGACCCACGCGAGGTCTGCCTGCTCCTCCCGGAGCCCGTTTAACCCGAGACTCACGCGAGGCCTGCCTGCTTCTCCCAGAGCCTGTTTAACCTGCCTAATCTGGGCCGCCTGGTGTTGCCGCTGACGGCCCCCCACCACCGTGCACAGTGGCGGCCCCATCTGGGTGCGCCAAGGGGATCGGTTTGCAGGTCACATCCGTCATGGGGCCTCCCGCGAGGCGCACGCTGTGGGTTAGTCTCAGAAACGCCGCCTGTTCTTCCCCTGTCGTTAAAGCATCACCTGGGCTTTGTGTGTGTGTATCTGGGGGGGCGGCGTGGGGGAGGGGGGGTCTTCTCTGTTCTCTGTTCCTTAGACTTCAGCATGGTGATGTACAGCTTTAATGGAATTGATCAAAGACACGGCTCCAGCTTGACACCCCTTGCCTGCTTGCATGTCTGAAATTAATCTCGCTGAGCATCAGGGAGATTTGAGAGTAAAAAATGGTCATTAAATCAGAGTCACACTCGGCTGGAAAGTGCGTCTCACCAGCCTAATAACCAGATTCAACAGTTGTGTCCCTACAGAGCATGTATTTTTTCCGTCTCCTCTTCCCAGCTCCCAACATCAATTGCGGATAAGTTCAGAAGCAAGGACATTAGCCAGTCTCATGTATTATTATCTATCCCACATCAGGCCGGCTCTAATTGAACATGCAGATTTAGCTTTTTTTTCCCTTCTTCTCTCCTAATAATAATTATGATGTAAAATGAGAGATGGCTGTGTACTGCAGCAGTGGAATATTAAGTAGGGAACATTCGCAGGCGAGTGTGTGGGGGGGGGGAGGGGTGGTGAAGGTCGTTCTTTTTTTTTCCATTCCTGTAACTAATCAGCCTAAAAGCTCTGCCTTAGAAGAAGTGCCCCTCTTTAATGGAAAGTCTCATACATTAAAGACTGAGGACGCAAAAGAATCCTTGTGCCCGTGTCGGCTTTCATTCTTATTAGGACTTCTTGCTTATTGAGGTTCCGTAAATGTGCACGCTAAATTATACCATTTTATTGCGACGGTGCAATGTGGAAGAAGCCCGGTAATTCATGCGACAGCCTCTCAGGCATCGATTCTCACGTGGCAATTTACCAAGCTCGCCAAACATTATGTGCTTAGGCAAATGCTTGGAACACCTCGAGAGGCGTGTGGAAATTTCGTCTAAAATAAAAAATTAAGTGGTATATCACATGATGAGGTGATACAGGCACCTTGGAGCCAACCTTGAGGTGAGGTGGTGGAACGAGTCCTTACCGTTTATGCAATGTTGGGTTCTCCATCAAACCTATTCTCTACGATAGTTCATGAAACTGAAGTGACATTTGCTTCAACCATGGCAAGTATGTACATATCATATAATTTTTATAAAAAGTTGTTTAAATCAAAATACCATTCAAGGTCTAATAAGCAGGCTAATGTTAACGATTCTGAC